ACAGAAAATAAATTTTGATTATAAGCAATATAATTATACTCAATAAACCTGAAATGGCTCTGCAGCCAAATGAAGAGTAAAATATAAACTGAAGTATAACTATAAGGTTGTTCAAACTTACTGTAAAAATTAATATTCATGAAACAGACTCTTACAGTTACATGAATTTGTTTATCACTCAAACACAACCACAGCCAAAACTCTATGTACCTACAGGCCAACTTGCACATTTACAAACTCTTTTCAAAATGGTTAAACTTAAGTTCAAAACCTAACATAATATACAGTAATTTGTTACATTTCTATAGTAATACTGTACTGAAATATAGTCTAAATCTAAAAAAAAATTAAATGCTATCAAAACATTCAGATGTAACTGAACACATCCACAGGTGCTAGTCTTTCAATTTCATTACCATCTACACAAAAGGGGAAACATAGGAATAATTTTGTGCTATAATGTAAACATGGAGCGTGTAACATTTACATCAGTGAATTCTAAGCAGTGGAGAGTGTTCTTGTTTTATAAAATTAAACAGAAAAATCATTGTATAATGCTAATGTTAGTGTTTCTAGGTCATTGTTTTATAAGTGATTGTTGGGGAAAACCTTTGCTAGGTGTTATGGAAGAATGAGATTTTGGTAGTGTTAGTGTATTTTGAATGTGAAATGCACTCCTGTGCCAAGATTAAAGTTGGTTAGGAGAACTGTGTGAAGAGTTTTGAAAAAGTGACCTAAGTATTAAGACGTGATTGTAAAAAAACTGTAATCTGTTGGTAATTCTTTGCTTTTTCAGTGTGTGGCAGCTTTTGCTGTGTCAGCTGTGGCCTCGCAGTGGGAGAGGACGGGAAAACCCTTCAACCCACTGCTCGGAGAAACCTACGAGCTGCTCAGGTCAGTGTTTTACATCGACTGATCTGTTATGAGCCGAACACGTCAATGTTTCATATGAACCGTCAGTGTTTTTGAGTCATCAGAGAGGATCTGGGGTTCAGATGGGTCTCTGAGCAGGTCAGTCATCATCCGCCGGTCAGTGCCTTCCACGCCGAGGGCATAAAGAGCGACTTCAGGTTTCATGGCTCCATTTATCCGAAACTGAAATTCTGGGGAAAGAGTGTGGAGGCCGAACCTCGTGGAATCATCACCTTAGAGCTTCCTCTGTGAGTCCTTTACAGCCAGTAAACATGCATGTGTTTATTCCACATGTTCCACATCTTACATGTAAATTCAGCTATATGATCGACTTGTGTTTTGTTAACTTGCTGTTTTTCAGCCACAATGAAGCCTACACCTGGACCAACCCGACCTGCTGTGTTCATAACATTATCATGGGACAACTGTGGATTGAGCAATATGGAAATGTTGAAATTATTAATCATAAGTAAGAGCAAGTGTATCGTCCTCTGATTTGACATAAACAAGGGTGTAGATTAGATCATTGTTGCTTTATTAAGCTTGGAGAAGAACAACTACTGTGAAAGACGGAAAAAAAGTCCACAAATGACTTTACTGTGCTTTTTAACAGAACTGGGGAAAGATGTTGTTTGAATTTCAAACCGTGTGGCATCTTCGGAAAAGAGTTGCATAAAGTGGAAGGATACATACTTGATAAAAGGTATGTAGACATTACTAAAATGACATGTTATTTCTGTCCCAGAGACCCAAATAAGCTGATTCAATTTTACTGTAGTGTGGTGTAGTGCAGTATGTGAAGTTCTCACACGTTAACTCTGGTCTAATTTGATTGGATATGTAGTGTTCCAAGAGGGTTGATATTTCATATGACAACACAAGAGCATTTTACTTTTTTTGATTGTCCATTTTAGACATTCTTCTAACTATAAGTAATTTTGCAACTACATGTCAAATAGCAGTCATTAGAGTATCCTGTCTGCTTAATAGTTTAACCGTTACTTTATGTATCACTTTGCTTATCTGTGTTCACTGCACCATTTATTTTTTCTAAAACCAATATCATTCTCACAATTGCACAGTTGTACTGTAAATGTTATACGGTATGTAGTAGCCGTGCCAGTATTCATTACAACAGCATGATTGCAAGTGATGTATTTACATAATCATACTGATTTGACTTGAGCTAGTATTGATATGTGACCCTGGAGCACAAAACCAGTCATAAGGGTCAATTTTTCGAAATTGAGATTTATACAAAATCTGAATACAATGTTTTTGGCTATTGCTACAAATATACCCCAGCGACTTAAGACTCCAGGGTCACAAATTAGCTTTGACTTGATATTAGACTGAACTGTTATGAACGTTGTTCTTTTCTTTATGTCTGTCCAGTAAAAGAAAGATCTGTGCTCTGTATGGCAAGTGGACGGAGTGCTTGCATTCTGTGGATCCAGCGATATTTGATGCTCACAGAAAATCTGACACAAAGTGCTCTGAGAAGGACAGGAAGGGAAGCACACAGGTGACGGCTGAGATAATGATCACGAACATACTTCATTTGATTTGGTGTATTTAATGGCAATATTGCTGACATACAGAACTGGTGTCTCTTCTAGAGTAATAATGCGGATGAAATGCCTCCTCCAGAAGCCGAGACCATGCAGGCGATTCCAGGAAGTGAGCTGATCTGGAAGATATCACCGCGACCAGACAACTCCGGGAAAGTATGCGGAATATTTCAGCATTTATCGTCACACACTCTTGTTCTAATGATGTGATTCATTACCAAACATGATATAATTATAATTTTAGCATTAAATATCACTTGGGCTGGAGATGAGCACCAGTAGCCAAGTATGTGGAAGTGACTGCAATGATCAGTCATAATGTAACATTTTACTGAATTAGAATCTGAACTCCAAATCATTTTCGGAATTAGAATCAGTTAGTGCCTCTGATTCCTTGAGATTGATTTCTAGTTTGAGGGCCCTATTAGAGGGGTTTTGTATTGGCTATGGCACACACATATATATTTAAGTGTAATTTAACATTTGTTTCCACTCTGTATTTTTGTAGGCATCCCAGAATTTTGCATCACCCTGATTCCCTCGACAAAATCTCAATAGGATTTTTCATTGATTTTTGGATTATTGCAGAAAATGACGGTGGACGAGAGCTCAACGCGCTTTAAATGAACATGCAAATAGAAAAAAAAACACCTGCAAATTAAGAAAACATCTTCATCAATTTGACAACACACGCGTTGCAAATTCTAACAACACAAACAAAGAAACGTGCTGCAAATACAAAAAAATACAAAAAAACAAACAAAAACAGAAACGCTGCAAATATGCACAGATCACATCGGAAATGTTTAAGGGAAGCGTGTTTCTTTGTTTGTGTTGTGAGAATTTGCAATGCGTGTGTTGTCAAATTGATGAAGATGAATTGTTTTTTCATTTGCAGCGTGTTGCGCTCTCTTGGCCACCGTAGAAAATAAGCAAAAGTTTGATTCTGACATGCTTTGTTCATCATGATAATCTTCACAAATTAATGCTGCTTTTATACAATGTGAAGCCTAAATACAATCTGCTGCAGTAAAAAGCTAAACAGAGGCTATAAAGAAACTACACCACGGTCACATGACTTCAACATCACCACAATTAACTGAATGCTGCTTTTATACAATGTGAAGCCTAAATACAATCTGCTGCAGTAAAAAGCTAAACAGAGGCTATAAACAAACTACACCACGGTCACATGACTTCAACATCACCACAATTAACTCTTTCAGTCTTCATTTAAAAACACTTTCCCTGAAAGTTTGAGTTATAATCGTTTGCAAGAGTGCAAACACATCGAGGTGGTGAAAGCAACTGATGTTTAATGTCACCGACATCCTCTGTAGTCCCATTCAGACACTTACTAGCAACCGGCTTTTTCAAGACAACTAAAAGCTAAAAATCACAAGGGGGTAGTACTGATGTATTTTATGTCTTAGAATAAATTTCCATGCTGGTTCCAATTTGCAAAACATACTCTACGCTGGAGACCAGCAATGCTGGATTTTTTTCAGCAGGGGTGGCATATTGTCACTCAGTGTCTTTGTCTTCCTTTCTTTCTTTCTGTCAGTTCTATGCTTTCACGACATTCGCTCTGCAGTTGAATGCGCTGGATGCAGAGATGGAGCGAGTTCTTCCACAGACAGACTGTCGTCTGAGGCCTGATATCAGAGCCCTGGAGAATGGAGACATAGGTACATCGACCGCTTATTGTGTCTTATAACGAAACACATTCATTCACCCACCCAGAACACTCACAACCACTGTAGTTACACTGTCACTGCAATCTTCACACCAAATACAGTTCTATACATTACTTTCAGTTCATGCATTCCCAGGGAATTGAACCCACGGCCTTGGCTTTATTAGTAACATGGTCTACTATTTGAGCTACAGGAACACCACCAATATGCTGAAAATTAAACAAATAATTAAAATTGAAAAAAAAAATATATATAAATATATTTTAAAAAGCTACTTCAAAATATTAATAACAACTGTAAATAATACTAAAATAACACTGCACTGACATTGTTTTCTCATGGAGTGTTGAGCCACTCTTTTGCTGTCCTGATTGGATAGGAGTGTGCGACAGATCATCGGTTTTTGTTCCAGTTTATAATGCCATAATAGAAGACTGCTTAGCTGTAATACTATAGAGTTTGAATGCGTGATTTGCATCGCTGCTGTTTCCCCAGATTTGGCCAGCGCAGAGAAGACCAGACAGGAGGAAAAACAACGAACGGCTCAGAAAAATCGCTCCAAATCAGACGAGGAATGGAAAATAAGGTTTGACAAGTTAATAAATACACAACAACAAAGCATACGCTGATGGGTGAAAGTACATACCTCAGGGGCCTTCTTTGTTTGCAGACATCAGCACTGATTACAATCGGCACGTGTCTGAATGTAGAGTTATTTTGATGATGGACAGACATGATTGCATTGATCTACACCTTAACATCAAACTCATGTTCGCATGCAGGTGGTTTCATCAGGGGCCGAATCCTTACACCGGAGCCCCAGACTGGCTCTACACCGGCGGCTACTGGAACAGGAACTACTCACACCTGCCTGACATATACTGACCTCGAACTACTGCAGGAAATGCATTTGAGTATATATATATATTATATATATATGACCTGGACCACAAAACCAGTCATAACGGTACATTTTTTGAAATTGAGATGTATACATTTCCTGAAAGCTGAATAAATAATATTTCCATTGATGTATGGTTTGTTAGGATAGGACAATATTTGGCCGAGATACAACTATTTGAAAATCTGGAATCTGAGGGTGCAAAAAAATCTATATATTGTGAAAATCGCCTTTAAAGTTGTCCAAATGAAGTTCTTAGCAATGCATATTACTAATCAAAAATTAAGTTTTGATATATTTACAGTAGGAGATTTACACAATATCTTCTTGGAACATGATATTTACATAATATCCTAATGATATTTGGCATAAAAGAAAAATCGATCATTTTGACCCATACAATGTTTTTTTTGGCTATTGATATAAAATACCCCAGCGACTTAAGACTGGTTTAGTGCTCCAGGGTCACATTATATATATATATATATATATGTATGTATGTGTCCGATTTGGTGCTAAACTGTGATTATGATGACACAGTTAAAGTCATCATGACGTGAGAGCACAAGATCTAACCTGAGCTTTTCTTTCAGCCCATCCAAGTGTAGTATTTATTCATAAAAGACATATCAGAGACAGATATGTGAGATAATGTGTGTTACATCCCAAGAATTTGTTGAAAACATTTATAACATTTAAACATTTTCATTTTTATGGAAACTTTTAAACAATATGGATTATTTTCATACAACTAGAACAATAGTGTTTCTCTTACGACTCATTTAAATAGATTAGGATTTACATTAAAAGAGCGAATGATTCACATCCAGTCAAATGTGCCTGGATGAAACATAAAAAATATCCTAATAATATATGGTGTGCAAATACTCTAGTCAACTCTTTAAATAGATTGAATGTGAAGCTGAAGGGTGACACAAAATCTGCTTGTATTTGACAAAGATGGCACTCTGTTGCATTTTAAGTTTCAAATATTTGTGTTTTGACATCAGTAGGTTTGCTAAATGTCTTAAAGAGGGAAATCCTAACATGCATATGCAGAAAAATGGACTCTTTGTTGTGCATATGACCATTAAACAGCTGCCCCCTGAAAATGCATGTTGCCACTATATTTTTCATTCTACATAACACTTTTTACTGTTGATAAATAAAAGGCTTTCTGAAACTGAACAAATTTTTTTTGTGTGTTTAAATGTATATTATATGGATAAATCTTATGAACGCATGCCTGGTCCTATTTCACGCTTGTGATAAATCACATTTTGCATTTAAAAAACCCCAAAAACACTTATTTTAGGACCACTTGGGTTTTATAAATCATCACTGGTGAATCAATCTGTAACATCAAAAGCAAGGCACTCTCCAATGGTCCGACCATATTCACTGCAATCCTTTGGAAAAGACAGAAGTTGGTACAGTATATGCGTACATCAGCATACATAGAAGACTTCCTCCATATGTTACCAGAGCGCAGCCAGGGAATCGTTACTAACAGCATCCATGTTAAAGCTTTGCTGTTTACTATTATTCTGAGACTTTGAGACCTTTTGCTTGTGCATACAAATATGGTTGCTCAAACACTTTCAGTGGATTCCACCTACTGCTAGTAAAGTCCATCTTTACTAATAATTAAATATTACTTTAGCAACCCCGTCGTTTGTGTGTATAAATCAGGTGCAAGTAGAAGCAGAACATTTTTTTTTTTCTCCTAGAAAAACCAGTCTACATTTTCTTTCCCTACCTGATTGCTGGAGCTGAATGATTACAGATCATTCTGACAGCTTGGTTTTGATTACCATTGACTTCCACTGTATGGAGAAAAAAACAAAACAAGCCCAAAAAAATTGACATTTTTCAAAAGACACTGAAAAAATATGTTTTATGTTCACCAGAAGAAAGCCAGTAATAAAGCAATAAGCCCCAAGAAGCCATGGTTTACAGTGAATTTATAACAGCTAAGGGGTGTTGTTAGATGCCTAACCCTAACCCTAACACGGGGTGCCTAAAACCCCCTTAGCTGTTATAAATGCACTGTAAACCACAGCTTCACGGGGCTTACTGCTTTTATAAAACGGTTATTCCATATACGTAGCAAGGTTTCACAAAATAAAACAGAGCAAATAAAGTGTAATGATATTAATAAAAACAGTATTCTTCCACCAAACAATGTAGTTCCTCAGAAACAGTTGTGGTTGCTACAAAGTGGTTGCTGAGCAACACACAGAAGTAAACAAAGGTGTGTGTTTGTAGAGTAATTTACAACAGCTTCGAACACGGCTCAACCAATCAGAATCAAGGACCGGAACTCTCCGTTATATAATACATTTTTGAGGTAAAAATACAGCGGTAAAATGGGCTTTAATTAGCTACTGTATTTTATTTTATACTACAGAATTGTTTTATATTAAACAAATTACATTTATTATAATACTGAATTATTATTGCCCCAGTTGTCATTAGAATGGTGCAGTGACTGGGACAGACTGCCAGCATCGCCTCCGCTCGTTAAGCCATGATATAATCCTGATTATGTGAAATAAATCGTTTGTGCTTACAGAGCGGTTGCTATGATGACAACTCTGAGATGAGCTCAGATCCAATCCAGTTCACTGGTAAATCCAGATGACTCCCATGAGAACAACCATACATGTGTTGTTTTATTTTGATGTCGTTTAATTAGCCCATTTAATTGTGCATTCATTTGTCATATATTATCATAGATTATTTTTCCTTGGTCTTGCAAAGCTTGCTATTTCCGTCCAATCTTATGATCGTGTAGTTAGAGGAAACGTTTCCATCCCTGCTGAAAAATAAATAAAAACTTCAAGGTTTGGTGGGAAGATGTTGGTAAGATACTGTTAAACTTTTGCTGTCCAAAAGAGCATCTGTTTTTTCCATTGCTTAGCCCTCATATTAACTTGACTCACTCAATGTCTTTCATGACCGTTTTTCATAGAGCCGTTTTAAAACGTAGAAATTGGTGTTGCGCAAGTTTTTAAGAATTTTAAAGAAATTTTCTTAATTTAAGAAAGTGTGATAGGCTTACATTTATAAATAAATAGAGCATTTCTTCAGTCAGTGAGAAGACAAAAATGCATTATTTTATAATGCAACTTTTCGCACTCTCATTACTATTATATACAAAACCATTATTAATAGTGACCAGACACAAAATTTAAAAAAGTTGAAAAAAGTTTTTATTTTTATTACTGCATGTTGAGTGATCTTTTAAAAGCAGTCTGGAGTATAACATATGTGCATATGTCCGCGTCGCCTTTTTTACAGCTTTAATATTTAACACAGAGGATGCATCTGAGCCGCATGATTTAGGGAGTTTGAAGTTGAAGGGGTTTGAATAAGAGCATCCCACCGGCAAGTGAGAGCAAGGACGCTCTGATCAGTTTTGGTGTTTGTAATGTAGAGCAGGTAAACAGACGTCTCCATCACAAGTATCCCTCCCGACGAAACTGTTCCTGCAAGATATCCTTGTACTCGTCAAAGCCTCCCTCCACGCGCTGAACTCGCCCGGCCTCGCAGACCCAGAGCTCCTTACAAACCAACAGGATCAGGCGCACGTCGTGGGACACCAGAACCACACCGCCCTGACAGAGAAAACCAGACGTCATTCTCTCGCTGTCGTCAGCTCTCGCTGCTTCCTGCTGTTTTGTTTTAAAGGGGTCATATGATGCGATTTCAATTTTTCCTTTCTCTTTGGAGTGATACAAGCTGTTCGTGAATAGATAAGATCCCTAAAGTTGCAAAGACTAAAGTCTCAAACCCAAAGAGATATTCTTTATAAAAGTTAAGACTCGTCCACGCCTTCCTAAAACGAAGAAATCCACAGCACTCCAGTCCATCAGTTAACATCTGGAGAAGACAAAAGCTGAAACAAATCCAGCATTAAGACATTTTTAACTAAAATACGAGTCCATAATCCATAATAACGCTTCCTCCAGTGAAAAAGTGTTCTGGTCTCAATCAGGAGAGAAATCTGCACAGATCAAGCAGCGTTTAAACAGTCCAAAACAGCTCTAAACAAATATATGGGTGGATTTTGATGTGAGAGACAACAGGAGATGGACTTTTTCACTGGAGGAAGCGTTATTATGGATTATGGACTCTAAATGTGTGATGCAGTGCACAGTGCAGGTGTAACGTACACTCCAATGGCGATGTGTGCATTGAGTGTGCACTCCTCCTTCAGCAACTCCTCTCGAACCGTGTCGCTCTCTAGAACGCTCTGTAAAGCCACAGTGTCGTCTCCAGCCACCTCCTGCTCCACGTGCAGAATGGAGATGTGCAAAGGGACGTGCAAGCTGCGGCTCGCTGACATCTTCAACAGAGTGGTCTTACCGAGCCCGTTACGCCCAACGAGACCGTAGCGCCTGCCGCTGGCCAGACACAGTTCTGCACCCTGCAGCAGACATCTGTGAACGGGAACACAAAAACACCAATTAGCTTATGGTTTAAAAACACTACAAATGCGTCTGTAATAAAACAGCTATTACATAAAGTGAGCAGCGCTTCAAAACAAGTGTGTGTGTGTGTGTGTGTGTGTGTGTGTGTGTGTGTGCGTTTTTGTGACAAATGAGGACATAAATAGTATGCAAATCTGGAAACGAAGATGTTTTGTCTATCCTAAGTAGGAAAAATATTTTCATGGAACATGATCTTTACTTAATATCCTAATGATTTTTGGCATTAAAGAAAAATCAATAATTTTGACCCATACAATGTATTGTTGGCTATTGCTACAAATATACCCCAGCGACTTAAGACTGCTGTTGTGCTGCAGGCTCACAAATGGTTGCTGCAAAGATTAGTTAAAAAAAAATACTAAACAAATATTCAAATGTACAACATCTAAGCATAAAATCTAGAACACTTCAGCCATCTACTGGCCGTTACTGTTGATAACATGAAGACATGAAGTTATTTTTCATAGAAATGTGTCCTTAAAAAAAAAAAAAAGGAAACTGAACTATAACTGCTTAAACTAATTCAGTGATCTAAAAAGTAAAAAAAAAAAAAAAGAAGATGGCATGAATGAAACAAAGTTTTGCTCAGTGGAAACATTTACCAGAATGAATTAAAAAAAGAAATTAAATTACGACATAAGGCTTTGTTTCTGATTTTAAAGTCTTAATTAGAAAATATAAAGTCACATTGTGATAAAAAGAGAAAAAGTTATCTTTGCACATTTTCTGTCAAACAGGCTTCCACAGAATAAAATCTTGTCTAGACTATGTTTAACCAATTAACTAAAATATAAATAAATGAATTAATTAATTTACACATTTTATTTAAGCATTTACAATAAGCTTAATATTATTAGAAAGGTTGCTGAAATAATGTGACAATTATTTAAAAAAAAATGCAAGTTATTTCACATCAGGTCTTACATTCTACTTTAACTTACGGCGCATCTAGAAAAATTTCCTCTCGCAAGATGGGAAAAGTATAGTATGATATGCTCTTATTTATTCTGTGATCATCTCAGCCTATGTCACTTTCCAGCGGTTAGTCTAGGTTTAGAGCTGGAAACCAGACAGCAGCTTAACACAGATTTAGATCAAACTGAAATTCTGACAACTAACAAGCGTGAGTGTGGAGAACCAGGGGTTCAGTCAAATGAGGGAACGTTGACCATATTTTTATAAGCAATGCTAATCAGAAATCATTTAAGATACTGTCTGACAAATGCATTAACCCTTGATGATTTATCATCACCACACCTTGTCTTTCTTCCCACACACACACACACTTGTGCATGTTACATTTCTACATGTCTCAGCCAATTTTGTGGTATTATTTGATTTGCATAATTCCTTTAGTAATAAAACAACACAGAAGGTGCACCAGCGGACACTCTTCATTATTAATGAGTTCCTCCTCTCCGTTTCTATGGAAACAAATGTAGACAGAATATGAAGATCATGGACAGCAGCTTTGTGTCGGATCACTTACAGCTGGAGTGTGTTGAACATCTGGAAGCAGATTTTTCGAGTGTCGTCTTCATTCTTGTCGCCGAGCTCTTGATGGCCTCAAACACTTCCTCTCCATCCTCGAAATCTGAGAAATTCATATCTTTACCAACATGCAGAGGTGCACATTAAAACATTATAGTATTATTATTTGTATTTTTTGTAACTATTTTTATTTGTAAAATATTTAAATATTCAAAATATGTATTCAAATATTCAAAAGCATTCAAAACAAGTGTGGTTATCACACTCATTTAGTTTAATTTACCCACTCTGGCCATTAAATATATATATATTGAATATATATATATATATATGAACTGCTCTGAGAGTCAAAAATATAGTTTCTGCCAGAAATGTATTACTATTGTTTAGTAGAATGTACGTACATCTACTACTACTAAAATTATTAAGGAATAATCACAATATTTTTTCCATGTTTTAATTTTAATTGTAAATCCCTTTGTTTTCCAAAAAACAAAATTTGTTTAATTTTCGTTAATTAAAATATGAATTTCTTCATTCGATAACCAGAAAAATGTAAATACACAACACAGAATTTCTAAAGAAAAAAAAAACATTTCATAAGGCTATAAATAACAGCTTTTTTATGAAAAAAGTTTGTATGCATTCAAATAATTAGACATTTTAAAACACAGAATTTGGTAAAACAGTAAACAAGGTGAAAAAAATAGAACATTTCATAAGACCCTAAACATGTAATTTTTGTTAAACTTTTTAATAGATTTGATGTTGAATTGTATACGTTTCATTATTTAATTAGACGTGCTTTTGATTAATGAAATTGAATTTAACCATTTAAAAAAGGAGTCCAGAAAAAAAACAGAATCCAAATTTTTTTAAATTTAAAAAAAAAAAAAAAAAGGAATTTGGGAAAAAATTAAATGTATTTCATAGGGCCCTAGCATAGTTATTTATTTATTGTGGTAATTTGAAGGTTGTGTCAAAAAGTTGTTGTTCTAGTCTAGTAGATAAATAGCTGTATTCTGTACGTTTTTACTCGTTTACGATAATTTTCTTCCAAATACGATAATTTTGAGCTTCTGGTACGATACTTGGACATTTCCAGTCTGGCAACACTGGGTCGGACTCTGTGCGCATGCGCAGCGGTGCAGCAATAACACGTGGACGAACAACCGAGTGAATGTGTTCCTCTAGAATCAATACAGCGTCATCTTTCATCTTTACAGGCCACTTTAAATCTCAGCTTCATGTCTTCAGGCTATTTCAGACATATGTGCACTAGATAGTGTACTCGTCTAAACGTACTAAATCTAGCCTGGTGTCTGACATGCAAATGGTAACCAGCTTTAGCAATCTGTATTAGTAACGCAGATTCGAGTAAATGTAATTAGTTACTGTACTTGAGTATGTTTTTGTAGTTTTACGGAGTATCAAAGATATTAGCAACTTTGACTCTCTTCTTCACTACATCTTTTGAAGCATCTGTACTCTTTACTCCACTACATTTGTAATTATTGCAGTTACACATTACATTGTGCATGGCACCTAGTGTTTTCTGCAGCACTTTATTCTGATATCGCAACTACAGGACACTGAAAGCACCATATCTTGTGCATTTTGCCCTTACTCACTCAGATCTGTCAACAAGGCTACTTTATGTGAATGCGAGTGCATTAGCAGGTAGTGAATCACAGGTGTTTTATAAATGAGATCCACATCCAGTGCTATAAGCCTTTGACTTTTTAATTTTACTCAACATTATTTTATTCATCCGTTATACTGAAGAGACCTTTTTGAAGCATGTTGTTTTTGCAATTTTGAGGCGTTGAGTTTTATTTTGGTGCGATTGCTCTCCTGGCAGAACAACTCTTTCTTGATTCTGTTGCATGTTCTCTGTGCCTTGTCTTGGACTTTTATGTCACTTCCTGTTTCCTGTGGTGTTTGTAGTCAGTTTGTAGTCCATTTGTTCATTGGTTCCCCTTGATTAGTCTCCCCAGGTGTGTCTTGATATCTTATTATTTTCACAGTAAGGTATTCTTTACAACTCTAATTAAACAATATTATTTAAACATATTTAGCTTGTTTTACATCTTAATAAAAACCCCCAGAAAGTTCAATAGCACAAGGCAAAGATAAAAATGATTATTACATAATCATCGTACCTGACTAATAATAGGTTAATAACAGGTTCTCCATTAATTTAGTTTAACTTTATATTCACATTTATACGTAATACTTTGTAATTTAGCCTATTCATAAACAGACTATAGAAAGAGACTACAGACATACTATAAAACACTATATAAAACGAATTATATAACAAAACATATTGATGCTATCTGTTAACAGCTCGTTTTTAACATAACTCACATGCTGGACAAACATCTTTGAACAATTGTACATACATTAAAATAATAATAATTGCAAAAACTAATGTGAAACCTTTGGTGTTTCAGTAGCAACAAGAAAGTGAGTTAAGAACATTTTAAATAGAATATTATTTTTTTTAGAAAAATATATCATATTTAATAGAAAAATATTTTTTTTTTGTCATTTAAAAATTAAAAATAAACTTTCAGATAATGCTTTGGGTTTGGATCATAACATATTCTCATGAAACAGTCAATATCTGAATTAATATCATAATTGCGTTTTCATTGCGGGAATAAAGTTTGAACAAATTCAGCCGGATTATCCAAAATACGTGTACGAGTCTTACTTACTTACTCCGGGAACCTGTTCTGTGATATATTTGTGATAGTTAAATACATAAAGGTGTATGGTTTCCTCAAATATAATTTTTAAAATTCACTTGTTTTTTTATCATTATTCTCTCTGATTTAGAGCTGCATTTCTGTTATGTAAATATGTTATTGGCTGCAGCTGCATGACACTGAGACACACTGTCAGTTTGATCAAAAACAGTTTATTTTTCAAAACAACACATTACACATCTACAGAAGGGAGCAATTGTGGCAATGTATAAAGATGCAAAATGGAAAGAGAAAAGAAGGGCATAAAGATTAGAGAAAGCAAAGTGAATCTTCATTACTATTCATTACTCAGTACTGGAAACTGCGCTTCGTCTGAATGTCGTCCAGGATTTGCTGTAACTCCTCATCCTCAAACCGGCCTTCCAAACTAATGAGAACACACACACACACACACACACACACACACACACACACACGTAATACAATAAAATAATAATGTAAACAAACATCAAAAACAGCTGATTGTAATTTTCAGTTCAACAGTCTCATAAAACATCAATGTGTTGTGCTGTCAAAGGAAAGCACTCTTATAGTTAAAAAGATCATTTATAAAGCGGAGAGTTCCGGTGCTTGATTCTGATTGGCTGAGCCGCGTTCGAAGCTGTTGTAAATTACTCTACAAACACACACCTTTGTTTACCTCTGTGTGCTGCTCGACAACCACTTGATTGCAACCACAACTGATTCTGAGGAACTACATTGTTTGGTGGAAGAATACTGTTTTTATTAATATCATTACACTTTATTTGCTCTGTTTTATTTTGTGAAACCTTACTACGTATATGGAATAACCGCTTTATAAAAGCAATAAGCCCCGTGAAGCTGTGGTTTACAGTGAATTTATAACAGCTAAGGAGGTTTTAGGCACTCTGCTTCCAACCTAACAATGCCCCTTAGCTGTTATAAATTCACTGTAAACCACAGCTTCACGAGGCTTATTGCTTTAAAGGCAGGGTAAGCAATTTCTGGTAGCCAATGTTGACATTTGAAATCACCAAAACAAACACGCCCCTACCCCAACAAATGCCACTCAAAATGCAGGCTTCCTAACCCGAATTAAAGGTGGGGTAAGCGATTTCTGGTAGCCAATGTTGAAATTTGAAATCACCAAAACAAATACACCCCTACCCCAAAAAGGTCTCACCCCTATTTTGATAGCTCCGCCCCACACATACGTATGCAACCCAGGCAACAATTAGTTCTGTGAAACAAAGCAAAACCAATGTTACACAGTGTCTACACCGGACGCAAGTGGCGCGGCGCGACAAAATACTCTAGAACTCATTATAATCATTGATGCTGTCTACACCATAGATATATATACATATCTATGGTCTACACTGGATGTGGCGCGGCACGACACGAGCCTTCTTTTGTTCCACAGATGTTTTACTCTTTTGTTTTTTATCTGCCATCTCTATCTTTCTGTCGCACGGCTCGCTAATGTCCGTCCTGTGCACTGAACGCTCTCTCCTGCACATCATGAGTAGACACGCCCCTTACTGCTGATTGGCTACAAGTTTGTTTTGCTAGTCGGC